CTCCCAGGGTTGCACCAAAACCCTCCTCGTTTCTTTCTTTCTTTTTTAAATATTTTTTTATGTAGGCTGTGCTGGGTCTTAGTTGCAACACGTGGGATCTGTAGTTGCAGCATGCGAATTCTGACTCGAGGCATGTGGGATCTAGTTCCCTGACCAGCAATCAAACTCAGGACCCCTGCACTAGGAGCATGGTGTCTTAGCCACTGGACTGCCAGGGTAGTCTCAAGGAATACTTCTCTTGACACGTGGGATGGATGCTCCAAAAAATTTGGCATAAAGCAAGTATAGCCTATTAATTCCTTAATTTAGGCTTCCCTGGTGGCTCAGTGGGCTTCCCTGGTAGCTCAGCTGGCAAAGAATCAGATTGCAAAGCAGGAGACCCTGGCTGGATTCCTGGGTTGGGAAGATCTGCTGGAGAACGGAAGGGATAGGCTACCCACTTCAGTACTCTTGGGCTTCCCTTGTGGCTCAGGTGGTAAAGAATCCGCTGCAATGTGGGAGACCTGGGTTCGATCCCTGGGTTGGGAAGATCCCCTGGAGTAAGGGAACAGCTACCCACTTTGGCTCAGTGGTAAAGAATCTCCCTGCCAATGCAGGAGATGCGGGTTTGATCCCTGGGTTGGGAAGATCCCTTGGAGAAGGAAATGGCAACCCACTCCAGTATTCTTGCCTGGAGAATCCCATGGACAGAGGAGCCTGGGTATAGTTCAGGTGGTTGCAAAGAGTCGAATATGACTAAGTGACTAAACAAAACAACAAAATTCCTTTATTTAGTCCACAAACATTTATTGATACACAATAGCAAAGCACCCAGCTTTGTGCACATGACAAGTTAACACTTCTTCACTGATCTTTGTTATCATTTTGAAGCCCTGTCATGATAAAAATAATTGGGGACCTCAACTCATAAACCCACATCTTGTTTCGGAATCTTGAAGTCAATTTGCAGTCTGTCTGCCTTTCACTAACCATGAACAACTGACTTCCTGCTCTAACACATGTATACAAATTATATATTGACAAGAGCATATAGTTAATTTTAATTTCCTATAATTTACATTGCCTCTCTTCTGGGCCATGCATCCCCTTACTTAAGGTTTAAACAGCTCTCTCTAGTGGTCCTTTGTGTCTGAGGGTTGTGGTTGAGCTATGGAAAGTTTTTGGTCCTGACAATGACTGGATTAAGAACAAAGATATTCCGACGGGCGTGTTACCTAATAATAGCATTTGCTGTATTAACTGAGCCATCAATGAGGTCATTTATTTAGTATTTATTTTTGGGGGGGGGTAAGCTCTATGAGGCAAAAATGGGTTTATCTTGTTCATCACTGAGATTCATAGCACTTAATGCATGGGCTTCCCTGGTGGCTAAGCTGGTAAAGAATCTGCCTGCAACGCAGAAGACCTGGTTTGATTCCCAGGTCGGGAGGATCCCCTGGAGAAGGGATAGGCTACCCACTCCAGTATTCTGGCCTGGAGAATTCCATGGACTGTATAGTCCAGGGGGTTGCAAAGAGTCAGACATGACTGAGTGACTTTCACTTCACCTAATGCATAGAGAATTACTTAAAAATGATTGGATGCATGAATGTTGTTGACTATACAGATGAGGAAACAAAAGACTCTTGAAGATCACATGGTAAGAAGTGGAATTGGAGGTCACAGTCTGGCTAGACGCCAAGGCAGGTGCCCTTTTTCCCATGACAAACTTGATGCCCCTAGGTCAGTGACTTTCCTCATTTCCTGCCTGTTTCTGGGTTGCAAATCACTTCCTTTCCTGGGTAACAGAGAAGTGGTGAGTGGTGTCTTAATAGAGCCGACATCTATGAATGCCATCAAGCCCCATCTGAGGCTGCCTTTTAGCCTGGATTCACCACCTTCAAGGTACTGAGATATATTCCAGGTTGTGCTATAGATCAGACACAGATAACCCGCAGGCCTGTAAACAGAGGCACCGAGCCAAAGCCCGTGACCATAATCCTTCAAACAGCTGATTGTGTTCACCCCGTGTGAAACCTCCTCACACTTGATGTGGCTGAAAACTGAGTGAGCCCCTGTGTCTGCGGTGGAAAACACTGCAGAGGAAGGTCTTCAATTATAAACCAAAATGCAAGGTATGAACAGGAAAGCTTTAACACCTACCGTCACACTTGGAGTTACAGGGTGTTAATGAGCAAGACAACCAAGGAAGGCATTTTTTTTTTTCCTCCTGGGCTGCCTGGGTTCGCTGTGTGTGTAGAATAATTGAAACCTCAGGATGTGAAACCATGAATCAGGAGAGTTTCCTGTATTATGAATGATGTCATCTAATAAGATGAGAGACTTTCAGTGAAATGCAGGAACACTGAGGGTAATGTGTTTGCAGCAAGCAGGATCCTGAATTTATTGCAGAGGGGAGTGTGAGAGTTGACCAAAATGGAGAATGATGAGAAGTAACTAAATTATGTATGACAGTCTTTACGGAGCAGAGGAAGGAAGAAAGCTTAATGATGTTGTGGTTGAAAGACCAGTGCAATGGGTGATGTATAGGTTGGAGGTTGGTAAGAAGAGAAATGGATCTATGAAGACTCAAAGACTATCGATGAGGGTGACACAGAGCAAGCAGTGGATTTGGGAGAGGGGAGGAGAACCAGGGGCTCAGTATATAATATATTTTAGTGGCAACAAGACAGCCGAGTAAAGTTAACTTGACATTAAAAATCATCATCTTAATCTATGGAGCTCTTTCCAGCCTGAGTCTTATACAAAAAAAAAAAAAAAATCTATAGTTAATGATGAAGTATTTTCCCCCTTCGCTTTCCCGGCATTCACTGAACGCAGTACATAATTTAATTATTGAATCTACAGGCTGGACCATGGAGATGAAGAATGATGTGTCTGCTGTAGTGAGAAATTAGATAGAACCAACTGTTTATTCTCATCATTCTTCCTCTGTGAGGCTAAATTAATATAGTTAACACGCTTTTGTTTGGATTAGAGGCTCAGATCTAGGAGGTGCTGATCAGAACTCATGATTACTACACTAGCTGTTATTTATGGAGTGCTGACAGTATCCTCAAGCCCCATATGTGAGACAGAAACGGGTTCTTTTGTCCTTCTCTGCAGTGGAACCAGTGTTCCACCAGACTTAGGGGCTAGATGTCTGAACAGAATACCAAAGTTAAAATCAGATTTAGTTCCTTGGAGCATATGACTTCAGAAATGTCACCCAAGGGTTTTCCTATTGACCTGTACTGTGTGTTGCTGATCTTTTTAACAATTGTAACAAAATACGCACAATTTTATAGCCAGCAAACCTTATGGGGACTAGCAGGAGGGGGTGTGGACAGGGCTGGGGCCCGTAAAGGGGTAGTTCAGCACACGAGTCAGGCCCTTCCACACAATTTGAGTAGGGACTGGAAGCTGGCCAAGCAAAGCGCCTATGCAAATACAGCTTCGAGGCATTTGTGCCTCGAGGCAGAGCTTCTGTGCGCTGCCTCAGACGAACCCTTCTGCTACGGCGACACCGCAGGCCCACTCCAGAGGCCAAAACCAGTTCTTTCTTCCTACCCCGTTCGGTCTGATTGCTATAGACTCTTTCGGGTCTTTTACAGCGAGATCTTTAAGTAGCTGATGGTAGATCCAAGCGGTGGTGGTGGGGAAACACCCCAAACCTGCACATCAACAACAAAAACTAGCCTCAGATCCAGAGATCCGAAAAAAAGCAGGGGTTATCTTGAAGTCGGAGCCCGCTGGGGAGCGGCTGCCGGCGGTCCCTCGGGAGGACCCGGGGCGGCGGGGCGACCGCGCAGGTCGCCGCCAGCCGACCAAAGTCACGGCGCACCCCAGACCACACCCCCCACAACAAAGCGGGCACAGCGGCCCCGGGAGGAGTCGTTCCCGCGCCGGGCCCTGGACAGAGGAGCCTGGAGCCCTGCAGCCCGCGAGATCGCAAAGAGTCGGAGGTGACCGAACGCCTAGCGACTGCTGCTGCTATTGCTAAGTCGTTTCAGTCGTGTCTGACTCTGTGCGACTCCGTAGACGGCAGCCCACCAGGCTCCTCTGTCCCTGGGATTCCCCAGGCAAGAATACTGGGGAATACTCTTTAGGCAAGAGTACTGGAGTGGGTTGCCATTTCCTTCTCCAGTGCATGAATGCATGCTAAGTCCTTTCAGTCATGTCCGACTCTGTGGGACCCCATAGACAGCAGTCCACCAGGCTCCTCTGTCCACCCAGTTCTTTAGGCAAGAGTACTGGAGTGGGTTGCCATTTCCTTCTCCAGACTAGAGACTAAACAACAATCAGATGGTTCCCAGTGGATGGTACCCAGTTGTAGGCACCCTCTGGTGCTGCTCCTAGCTGTAAGCATCACAGCTGGATCCCAAGCGGAGCTGTTGGGAAATTCTCACCTTTCTTAAGCCCAGATGTCTAGGCTTTCTCCAGATTCACTGAGAGTTGGGTCCTATGTTGCTCTGCTTCTTTGCTTTTGTTCCCCTCCCTTGAAAGGGCCCCTCTCCCTTACTGGCAGTTTTAGCCCACTTCAGGGGCCCCGTCTCCATTGTGGAGACAGTTCCTTCTCCTGAGCGTAGCCCAATGTTACTGAAATCTTGCCATAGTCATAGCAAGAGTCTAAATAGTTTCTCTTCGTTTGAGTCACTACTCAGGGTGGATAATTTCTGTCCCAGCTGGGGAAACTAAGGGAAAGGAAAGACACATGACTATCACAGCTAGGATGGAGTCATATGGAATCCTTCTGGCATGGATAGTAATCCCACCTGGTTTAGGGCGAGATACCTAAGTTCTTTGAGTCTCTGTAAGAGGGGTGTGAGTTACCTTAACTCAGAAGGAGGCTTCACTGAGTTGATGTGTACAAGCTTTAAGAGTATCTGAAATAGATTAGGGTAGATCAGGCTTCCCGAGTGGCCCTCTTGGTAAGAAACGTGCCTGCCAATGCAGGAGACATAAGAGACACGGGTTCGATCCCTGGGTTGGGAATATCCCCTGGAGAAGGAAATGTGCCTGCATCGTGAATGCAGAAAACAAAATCGTGGGCATCGGGTACAACGGGATGCCAAATGGATGCAGCGATGACCTCTTGCCTTGGAGGAGGACAGCAGAGAGCATCCTGGATACCAAGTACCCTTACGGTAGGGTGCGTTGTGTGGTCTGTCCTGCTCGTGTGGCATGGCCTCGGTGAGGGCTTACACACCATGGGCGGTCAGAAAGCATTGTCTTCCTTTCCAGTTAAGAAAATAAGTCCTGTTGAACTAGCCCAGCTTCCCACCCCCTTCCTTTAAATTCCAAAGAGAGCCAAGGAGTGGCGGCATGGCGGTGGCTGGGCTGGGCAACGCTGCTGATGGCGGGCTTCTCTGCAGAGGGCCGCAGCCCTGGGGGCGGCGACTGTGAAGTGGGCACCGTGGCCCCTGCCTTTTGTGTCTTGGCAACTCATGAACAGAGCCAGTTAACCAAGCACCAGCCTGGGCTTCGCTCTGATGAGGAGCAGCGTGTATTTTCACCTAGCGAGGACCTCTGGCTCAGGCTCTGGGAAGCAGGACGCAGGCTGTGAGCTGGGCGTTGGTCGAGGGATGATGCGGTCACCTTCTCCTGTTTTCTGGGGCACTGCACTGCCAGGGTAGACAGGGGTCAGACCACAAGCCAGATGCCTGGAGCCGACCCTGGGCCTGGCTGTCTCTGGTTTTTATCGTTAAATTAGGGAAGGATGCTTGTGGCCCATCTAAGCCCCCAGGGAGACTCCTTTCAGAGATAAGCTGGGAGGGCCCAGCAAGCCTCCTTTTTTCCCTTGAATTCCCTAGAGAATATGCAGCTAATGCTGGGAAGAGGCGCCTTGGGCTTCATATGCTGCTGAATTTCTTTTAAGGCGTGGATCTGTGTTTATGAACAGACCGCCTCTGCTGGGAGTCACGTAGATGGGGGCCACCTGAACGGGAAAGATGTGCTTGCAGGAAACGAGGGCAGGCAGGCAGTGAGTTCAGATGTGATGTGAGCCCTTGCATTTAAAGTTGGCTCTTGCCTTGTGAGGTTTTCCTCTGGAGTTTTTCCTCACGAAGAGCTCCAAGTCTCTGTTTAGCCAAATTTACATATTTTTTACTAATGTTCCTGGACCTTAATCATGTTAAATAAGCCCCATAACTTTCGTCTAAGCTGCTTCAGGGCAGTAACTTAGTCTTTGACAGAAAAAGAAGAAAAACATGCCCGGAGGTGGAGAAGGAATTGAGGAATGAGACTGGGGAGAACTACGGAGCATTCTGGGTTCTCAGGGAATCAGACACAGTTTGGTACTGCAGGGGGTTTCATAGTCGGGGCTAGTCCATTTCACACCCCATCCAGGAGGAGTAGAAAGGGCAGGATCCCGGGAAAAGAGGGTAAAACTGCCTTCTCTGCCTCAGCTGAGAGGAGTGAAGTGCGGGAAAGATGGGCCTATGTGTTTTAGAAACTTTTGGTCTTCTTGCTTTTGATTCTGTGTGCTTTCAGTAAGAAAGAAGGGAAATGGTTCGTTGCTTGTAGGCACATGTGAAGGCGATTTCTCACGGGACAGTCCAAGGTCCCATATAAAGACCACAGAAATGAGTCAGTGAATTCAGAGTCGGCACTGAAGGGTGTGAGTACCCCAGCCCTTATTCATGGAGTCAGGACAGTGGGCTGTGGGTCCTGGTGCTGAATTCCCGATAGAGGGGTTCTTGGGAGGCGTCTGGTGCTGAGACTGGTTACACCAAGAGATGCCAGTGGTCGCAGGGGTGTAGAGGGGTCCTCGTGGGTTACTGACTCAGTTACTCAGGAGCTCAGCTTCCTCACAGTAAGCTCAGTTACTTCCTAAAATGCAGATTCTTTTTTTCCATTTTATGACTTAAAAAAATTAATGACAAAGTAAGTGACAATGTCTGGAATTTGTGGACTTGACCTGGTGGACGGACTGCTATTTCAGGACGGATAGACGATGTGTCCATCCCTATAAAGGAGCTGTAGAGATGATCTAGATTCTAGACCACTGATTTCCTAGTTCTTCTGATTATGTAGTGAAGGACAGAGGAGCCTGGCACGCTGCAGCCGATGGGGTCATAAAGAGTCAGACACGACTCAGCAACTGAACAACAACTGATTATATGGGACCCGCTTTTAAAAAATGTCAAAAGAACTTCCAGGGCCCCCATATAATGCTAGTTAAACTATGAGTAACCTCATGGGTTGTCCCAGTGGAACCTGTGCCTTGTTCAATCACCCGGAGCTCCAGGCACATTTCTGGCAGTGACCTAGAAAGCCCGAGGCTTTGCAACACACTTACTGCCCCCTGCCCCTTACTCCCCACTTCCAGAACCTCTCCAGTAGCTGATTGTGTTTGTTCTGAGACACTTGCCTTTTGTCCAAGTTCAGAGCACCTTTCCAGAAGGAATTGGAAAGAAAGAGAACACATATAGGCATTTGTCCAGCTTCTCCGATTGCTTTTTATTGAATGATTGCTGAGTTGAAACTCCGCACCGGTTGTCTGTCTGCATTATTTTTTACTATTCATATGATACCTCTAGGTTTTCAAAGCTCTTTGCCCCTAACTTGTCAATTATTCATTTTTACATGGAGCTGTGTTAGAATGTAGACCATTTTCTTTCAGGAGAGCAAGCTTGTAATTTGATGTACCATCAAAGTCGGAGAAGGTATTAAATGGTTTTTAAGAAGCATTTAGTATTACTACCATCATAATACAGGCGGAGATGGGCTTTAAGTCTAAGTAACTATGATTGGCTGGAAACCGTACACTCAGTTCCCGTCTTTTTAAGGGTTTTCAGGCCACAGAGAAGTAAATGTTTAGGTAGCCTTGGATGTAATAGAAATGTTTGGTGATAACTGACTAAACTGCAGATTCTTTTTTTCCATTTTATGACTTTAAAAAATTAATGACAAAATAAATGACAATGTCTGAAATTGTGTGGGCTTAACCTGGTTGACGGACTGCTATTTCAGGACGGATAGACGATGTGTCCATCCCTATAAAGGAGCTGTAGAGATGATCTAGATTCTAGACCACTGATTTCCTAGTTCTTCTGATTATGTAGTGAAGGACAGAGGAGCCTGGCATGCTGCAGTCCACGGGGTCACAAAGAGTCAGACCGACTCAGCAACTGAACAACAACAACTGATAATAGGGGACCTGCATTTAAATGTCAAAAGAACTTCCAGGACCGCTATATAATGCTAGTTAAACTATTAGTATCTTTTTAAAAAAGTCGAGGTATAATTGACATACACACTTACATTAGTTGCAAGTATATGATATGGTGATTCATACATACCAATATTTGATAATGTTTACAGAAAATTATTTTTTCTTATGATGAGGACTTCTCTTAGCAACTTTCAATTGCGTGGTCCAGTAGTATTAACTGCAGTCACCATGCTGTACATCACAGTCTCAGGACTTATTTTATAAATGAAAGTTTGTACCTTTGACCCCCTTTGCCTGTTTCTCTGCCCCACCTCCTGTCTCTGGCAACCATCCATCTGTTCTGTGTACCTGTGACCTTGTTTTTATTTTTTCAATTCCATATATAAGTGAGGTCATACTTTTTAGTAGTATCTTTTGAGTCAGAAAATCCATGATGACAAAGAGTTGTTTATCAGTAACACTTTGCATTAACCTGAAATTTATTGAACAGCATTTGTACATGTTTGGAAAAAGTGTAGGTAAGTGCTGGATGTCTGTTTGCCAGTCTGTGGTCCTGTACCCCTGGGAGAACCTCACTGGTGCCTTGGGGTTCATGCCCACAGGGTCTAAGCTGCCCACATCATTCATGGTTAGGAACCTGAAGGCCCAGAGATGCTAAGTAATACAGTGCCGAACAGGTGGGTGACATCATCTGATTCTGGGCTGGCGCTCTGCTTCCTGCAGGGAGGCACGGGAGCTCAGCTTTGCTGAAACGGGTGGATCACTGCACAGTGGGCCTCCCATTTTTGTCTTCTCACCATGTACTTGAACAAATAGAGATTTCCATGAAACGACCAGCCAGAGGTGGGATGCTCAGGTGGTGGTGGCCTGTACCTAGGACAGGGTAGAAAGTCATGTACACCTGGCCTGCCTTCACAGTGCTCCAGAGGGGAGCTTGGGAATTGTGTAAGTTTGAGTTTACCAGTAAATTATACAACTTAATAATTCTCCTTATTATTGCTATAAATTTGGAAGTCACTCGTCTTGATTGACACTTTGTGGACAGGAGGTAAGCACAGAATACATGCGTCAGAATAGGAAGATGGGGCTTCTTCTGGGCCAGGTCTCTGGAGAGGCATTTTTAAAGGGTGTTTCTGTTCTTCTGCGCTTAGGATCAAAACTTCAGGAAACGATTTGATGATAATGTAGTATTAATATGGAAAATGAAAATTCCCCCTGCCAAGGAAACTGCCTTTTATCTCATCTCTTTCCCGAAAAATCCAAAAGATAGTATGATGTCAGTTAACAGTGTTAGGAAGAAATCAGCATTATTATAGTGACACCTTTTCACATGAATGACAATGGAAAAAAAAAAAAAACCCAGGAAGGAGCAGATTTATTTAATTTACCAGGTAAAAACCTTTTGGAGGCTTTGATTTTCATGAGGGGGTGGTTGCTAACCCCAGGATGAAGAATTCAGCTGACATTTTCCATTCGTTTCTCTTTGTGGAATTCATCAGAGTGAAGCACATTTAATCAAAATACCAATTTTATAAAATGGAGGTGAAATACTCGTGGTAATGCAGAGATCGCTCTTTCTGTGGGTTTTCATAAGCGATTTTGATGACATGGTTTACAGAGCGAGTGTTGGCGTGAAATCAACTTCTTTCTTTCTCAGGAGCCGTTGTTAAACTTCATGTTTGTAAAGGAGCTCCCCATGCATATCAAGCTTGCCTGGGTTTTCCTGCCATGCTGGTTCCCACTGGAGGAGGGATTCGTGGGGAAGCACATGTCTTTGCTTGGCCTTCTCTTCCATCCTGGTCAATCATGAAGCCAGGATTGCTTTCCCTGTTGCTTTACCCTTTTCATCATGGAAGGGACCATAGTCTTTTTTTAGGGGGGGGGGGAACCATAGTCTTGATGTCCCAAGAGGGTGGTAGCCCTTTTCTCTGATGCATTGTCTAAACATGGTGATGTAGGGCTTTTTCTAGA